TAAATACAACGAGTTCTTCATTTGTTCAGAATTAATTATGCTCGACTTGGAGGTGCTGGTTTTGGACTGGTGTGAGCAAAGTCAGAAGTGACAACACACCAGATTACAATCCAACTGGTTCATTTGAAGTCACATGTTTTCGAATGGCTGCTTCTTCGGCGGCTGAAGTCACCTGATGAAGGAGCAACGCTGGAAAGCTTGTGGCTTCTAATAAGCGGTTGGATTTTAATCTGGTCTCGTGTGACCGTTGACTAATTATACTCGAAATGGTGAAAGACAATATACTTTCAATTTTGAAAATGATAAAATTACCTTCCAGTCGCTTAATGGTACAGCTCCCCCTCACCTCCATTTAAGGCACGAAGCAAACCTTCCACTTATGCAGGGGTTCACCTGCACAACAGTCAACTTGGACCATGCTTGATCCAAAGCTATAATGCTTAGTTCCATTGAAAGGTATTCCTACAGAAGGATATACATACAGACCAGAGGACATCTGGGAGGTGCGGGAGTGGAACGCCGCATTTTAGGAACAAATACAATGGAGGCGGAGGAATTCCTCCTGCACACCACCCCACAGCCTCCTACCCTCTCTCGACTTCCTCATTTCCAACTGCCGTCACAAAATCGATCATATCAACCTCTCCACCCCTGTCATTCCCTTCAACCTCTCCCCCACGGAATGTGCAGCCCTCCGTCCGCTTCAATCTCACCCTCGCCTCACATTCAAACCCACAGTTAATGGAGGCGCAGTAGTGGTATGGCACAGTGAACTTTACATATGCACGGCCTGGCGCCAACTCACTGAGACCTCCTCCCAGAAACCCCTCGATCATGTCCTCACGCCTGGCCACCAAACCAGCATCTCTCAAATCAATCACAACCTCATCACTCTCGGTGACCTCCCACAGACAACCTCCAACCTGATCATTCCACAACCCCGCACCGCCCGTTACTATCTCCTTCCCAGAATCCATAAACCTGAATTCCCCAGCCGACCCATTGTCTCTGCCTGCTTCTGCCCCACTGAACTTATATCCGTTTACCTAGACTCTGTTGTTACACCTCCCCGCCCCCCGCCACACCCCCCACCCCCCGCCCAGGTGCAGGAACGCCCATCCACTTCTCGCACAACACCCATGCCCTGCACCTCCTCCAATTTCCTGGTCTCCCACACCTCATCTTGACTATGGATAATCTTCCCCTCTACCCTTGTCCCCATCATCGACACCCTCATCCACTTAAACAAGTTTATCCTTAGAATTAACAACTTCTCCTTTAAATCCCCCCACTTTCTACAGACTACAGCAGTGGCCGTGAGCACCCACATGGGCCCAGGCTATGCCTGTCTCTTCGTAGAATAAGTGGGACAGTCCCTCTTCCGTTGCTACACTGGCATTATCTCTCACCTCTTCCTATGTTATATAGATGACAACATCGGAGCTGCCTCGTGCTTCCACGAGGAGCTTGCACAGTTCATCAACTTTACTAACATCTTTTACCCCATCCTCACAATCACCGAGACCATCTCCGATATCACCGCCTCCTTCTTGGACCTCTCTGTCTCCATCTCGAGTGACTGCCTCGAACCTGGCATCTATTTCAAGTCCACTCACTCCCACAGCTATCTGGACTACACCTCCTCTCACCCACATTCCTGCAATAATGATATGCCCTTCTCCCAATTCTCCCCCCTCTGCAGTGTCTACTTTCTTTATGGGGCACTCCCGCATGTCCTAGATATCCTCATATTTCAAAGACCGTAACTTCCCCCTTCGCTGATCAAAAATGCCCTCAACTACATCTCTTGCGTTTCCTGCATTTCTGCCCTCACATCCCCTCCCCAAAACAAAAATAAAGACAGAATTCTCTTCGACGTCACATATCAACTTCCCAACCCTCGCATCCAACATATCATTCTCCGTCACTTCCTCCACCGACAATCCGACACTATGACCAAAGAGATATTTCCGTCCTTTTTGAGGGAGTTTCGTCTGGTCAATCGAGAGTTGCACAACTTACAGCAATGGTTTGCGATGGAGAGATTGTCTTCACCCCCATGAATCCAAAGTAAATTATACATGGACAAGGAATCAGGCAGCCCAGATATGTCAAATTTTGTATAATTTCACATCAGTTTCTGGTGGGTTGATGAATAAGCAGTAATAATAAAACATGTGTGTGTGTTTGTGTGTGTGTGTTGTGTGCGTGTGTGTGTTCTGAAGGCAGACTTGTCCATGAAAACGATGCTTCGAACACTTTTTTTTTAAGTATGGTGTGTGCATAAAGACATTAGGCAGGATTCAAATTTGTGTGGGGTAAAACCACTACTTTCGCCCCCCCGTCACAACTTAAAAGCTAAGATGCGCATCAATATTGGTGGTTTAACATGATACAATGATCCCAGAAACAAAAATCGAGCATTCCACCATTCTTCCCGATCCATTATGGCTTAATTTGTAGTCACGTTGCAACATGTTCCAACATTTCTCATTAATCCTACAGGTCAAAATCAAATAAATGTTTTTAAACAACTTTTTTGGCAGCATTCAGGAACGACAGACTCCAGGATGAATCTATTGTGATAGTTCACAAAGCAAGAAGAAAAGCATATTTCAGAGTGATGTTCAAACTCAGATGACAAAATTGAAAACCCACATCACAGCGCGTTTCATTCAAAGTCAATAAATCTGGAACTGGGAAAGCACGGCAGGTCAGACAGAATCCAAGAAGTGTTTCTGCACGGAATATTGACTTTCTTCTCCTCGGATACTATCTAACCTACTTTGTTTTTCCAGCTCCTCATTCATTGACTCTAGCTTCAAGCATCTGTTATCCTTTGGCACCTTGATCAGCCAGTAAGGGAGTGTATAAGACATGAACATGAAGTCAACAGAACATTTACGGAAGTCACTGTTTTCTTTAAAATAGCTTCTGAAGAAAAGTAAGCTTAGTTTGAACATGAAGTGAACAGAAATAGGACTTTTGTGCGACAACACTGCAGGTGAATGACATACATGCTCGAAAACGTACCAAATGCGACGGTAAGATTCAATGTGAATATTGATTTATTTAAAACAATCCTGTGGATGTTGGAAATATGAAACAAAGCAAAAGGTGCTCGAGAAACTCGTCATTTATTGCAGTATCTGTGGAGAGATGAACAGAACTAATGTTTTGACTCCGATATGACTCTTCTTCAGACATGTTCTGATGCTTTCACAACAATTGCACTTCCACAGCGCATTGTATATTCATTTCAGACTACCAGTAATCACGGTATCCATATCTGGCATCCACCTCAGAGCACAACTTATGTAATGCCCGCATGGCAGTGATGAATAAAAGGCAGCTTCTCAATCTATTCCCAACATAATTAGTTCATTGGACGAGAAGCAGACTTGTAAATATGAAATTAACCAATATGGTATTTCTATTAGTGAATACTTTGTTTCCTTATCAGGTTAGTAATTATAATTGCATTGGATATTAAAGGGAGTCTGGTTTGAAAATTAGACTATTATCAGGCTAATATTAAATCCAGGAAAAAAAAAAGACAAAGGAAAATACATAGCAATGTTTGTCAGGACATGCAGCATAAGAAGTCGAAGGTGCGAATAATGGTAATGATTGAACAGAAAGTTTTGGAGCCCTGGCTTTTGGGGATCGATTTATTTATCTCATACTGCATTCAAAGACTTATCTCTCTGTGATCAAGTTTGTGGCTTTATTCAGACTGGCTCACTCCATCTTTCGTCGTTGAGATTCTTAAGCTCATGTTCAATGGATTCAACCTCATATTGGATACTCTTGTTCTTACACTTCGCTGATTTCTTGGGTGAGGTCTCGATATCCATTTCTCTGGAAGTGTCGCTGTGCCCAAACTGCTTTTGTTAATGACACAGTTATTGTGCTTGGAGCGAAAATAACCTCTGCTTCACTGCAAGAGTGAGAGACAATTGCTTTCGCTGAATGTGGTTAATGATTTTTTTTTTCTTTTCTAAAATGAGAGTTTTGATTCAAGTTCCCAGGAGAATGAAAATACACAGACCCACAGTATGGGAATAGGTATTTACGGATGGACTGCTAACGGCAGGACAACGTGAGACAGAAACTGGATCAGAATGATTTGATACATAAAAACAGGGGAGTGTATTCCAGAACACCTCCCAGAACGTATTCATATCAAAGTGTACTGAGGAACCATTGGATAGATTGGAATTATTTCCAGTGGAGTAAACGGGTATTAGGGTCCAATTTGGTGCAGTGATGATACCTCTTATTTTGGGGCACATGAGATTACACATCAACATGGCAGCTGCAGGCTTGATTTTCAATCAGAAAACGTTGAATTGGGATATATTCCCTGAAATGGTGACCGTGCAATCACCATGTTATTTTCTAATGCCCCTTCAGGAAAGACATGTTCAAGACTTACCATGCCTTAACGGATGCACAACAATGTGATAGGATCTTATCACACCTCGATAAAGGCTGAGCAATAATACCCGTTAAAGGACAATTAAAATGGAGAACACAAAGCAAGGAAAGCTTTAACTCTCTGTTTTAAGGGGTCGTGGTATCACCAAGTGTTTGAAGCTTATTAAAGCATTTTCTATTGGATGCAGGAAACGTGACATCTAACGTGCCAAGGACATTAATAACACAAAGGTTAATCATACAACTAAGCAGAAAATCAATCACTTTCAGTGGTGTTGAATGAGTAATAGGTACTGATTCAGAACCTTTATCTAAATCCTGTTTTCTTTTGAAATAGTGAAAATCGAATATTTTATTTGAGACACTGGGAATCTCATTTAGCCATGCAGTGACTCCATTCTTTCAGGATCTCTTTAGTATCTGCAACAAGGCACCGCTGGGGCTGGCAGCCTGAATAGTGAACATTTGACTAAAAGACTTTTCCAATGGTTTCAGAGAAATTTCTCCAAGCCGGGTCTTCCTGATGGAAGGAAAACAACATGACGAGGTTTGGTCAGTTTTCATTCTTTATAGCAACTGGTGACAGTTGCTATGGGGCACATCAGCAGCTTCTTCAATTCCCCTCGGAACCTTTTCTGCGCCACTGCGTAGATGAAGACATTGTTGCAGGAATTGATTATCTGGAGCATGTTGGTCGCCTCTTGAAGGAGGTAATCAGGGTCATTAAAATCCAAACCAGAGAAGTAGGCCTTTCCTGGAATATGCACGTAAAGGAAATGTACAACTTGGATGACCCATAGGAGGAGGAAGCTGAGAGAGATGGTGAACAGCAGAACAATGGACTTCTTGCGGCTGGCCAACTCCGGGTCACTGCGATGCTTATTGCCCTGGAGTCTCCTACGGGCTTGGCTGACTGTCAAGATGTGGTGGACGGTCAGGACGTTGAGTAATAGAATGAGGAAGAATGGGAGAAATGGCATTAAAATGTGGTCCAGCCAGTCGTAGGCCCGCCAAGCGAGTGAGGTATAATATGTAGACTTGATTTCACAAAACCAGGGCACACCATCCAGTGTGTACAAGGGGTTGTAAGAAAAGTAAAAAGGGACGTTCTTGATAGCATTCAGGAGACAGACAATGCCTATGACCAGCGACGCCGTTTTCTTGGTGCAGTATCTGTTCTTCAGGTTTTGGCAGCAGATGGACACGAAACGGTCAATGGTGAAGGACACTGTCAGCCATACTGAGCCATCCCGGCTAAAGTAGACCAGCACGGCGCTCAGTGCACAACCGGTGGTTGTGGACAATGCACTGTAGGTAAAATAGATGCGACTGATTCGGTTGAGAATGCACCCGGTGATAATCACGAGGAAATCGCTCACTGCTATTGCCACCAGGTAGTAAGTAACACATCGAGAGAGTCCACATTTTCCCCGGGATAGAATTACGATCGCCACCAAATTGGCTGTAAGAGAGAAAAATACAGAGCTGTTGAGGGCAGGACTCGAAACTTAAGATACTGCTGTACCCAATCTGGTGCAAGAAAGAAAGCAATTGATCTGTCCAATTTCCACCAGAACCAGACAGAGCCAAAGAAATCGTTAACGCCCAATTCTGAATTAAGCATTTGCCATCCCACAAAATACTGCAATGTGACCCATCACAAAGTCTGCCCTCTGGCCACAAAGTCCATCCACGCCTTTCAATTTAAGTTCCGTCGAAACATTTGCTGCTAGTTCTTTAATGCAGAACAAATAATTTCCAATCGACAAGTCTATGCTCATTGACCGGCCTTCTCTCTCCTTGCAACAATGTTCTGGCTTTAATGATCTCATCCATTGAAGTTCCAATCATCCACAGGTTTACCGCTCCAATTCTTGCAACATCAGGAAGCTACCTGAAATCTAAGTGTTCGAGCAATGCCACCATGTTGTGCATCCTTGGTATCAATGCTCCATCAGTGACAATTATGCTTTTATCTGTTAATGCTGAATCTGCAGAATTCCCTATCTCAATGGTCTTGTTTCTCCTTTCTTCTTCAGTGCATTCCTTGTACTTTTTTAATCAAGATGCTGACCGTCTGGTGCGAAGTTCCACGACGTGCCGGTATAAAATGTGTTTGTTGAAACTCCTGTAAAGCATTCTTTAAGACGTACTGTCATGGTTATGGCAGGAGTCATGCATTAACCTTGTAAAATGCTAACGAGAGATAACCAAATAATACTCACTTTTTCCAGTGACAATGATATCTGCTAATGATAGCAATCTACATTTTCCCAAAATATAATCCCATTGTTTAAAGTCTATCTGAACAAGAAAATGTGCATCATCAGTTACAAAGATTGTAGTTCATTCTGTTGCAAGATGACCACTAATTGCCGGGGAAATCACTTACTTGAACATTTTAGAAGACAGTTCAGAGTCACCGATATTTCTGCATGCCTGGAATCACATGAAGGATATACCAGAAAGAGATGATAAATTTCCATCTCTGCAGGACATAAGTGAACGAAGCAAGCTTTCTTTTAACTTTTTCGTTTAATGGTAGCCCATATAGGCTCTACACTCGTTGGCCAGATTTCATTAACTGAATGTAAACCAACCCAGCTGGCAGTGTGAAATTTTTAGACATGTCTCAAACAGCCAGTGACATCACCAGTGCACTACCAGCACGTTCTCTTACAACATAAAGGCATGTCTTTTTCATCTAAATTAAATACATTAGAATGCGTTTATTCACTTATAATGAAGATTAATGCTGTTGGATTATCATACTGTATGTTTTATATTCCAGCAATTCAAACAGCATTTTTTTTAACATGCAGCGCAATGAAGTGGAATTATCTTGAAACACTCCATAACACCGATCATAGAAATGGATTTTAATGTACATATCAGCGTATAATTCTCCAGAAAGTGATAAGTATCCAGTTCGGCTCACTTATTCTCCAATAGCATTGGATTTTTATCCAAAATTAAGACCAATCCTTAAAGAGAAGAGTCATAATTTCTGGGAAGTTCTAAAAATAAATACATAAACTAAATAATGTTTTTTGTGGTTCAATACTTACCAGGAACACCAATAACAGCAAGAACTGGATAGCCAATGGCATAAAATATACCTTTTGCTGGCCCGTGCATCGTCTTTGAGGATCTAAATAAATCCCAAAAACTGTGAACCCGAGTCTGTCACACAGTCGATGCTTCCTTCATTTATTCTCGATGTTAGTCTCAAGAGGGCTAATAACTGAGTTGCCGCATGAACCCAGTTTGAGGAAATAAACACAACTAGTTCAATGCTTTATGCTTTTCATTCGTAGCATTCATAAAGCAGATGATATTAATATACATGTGGATTAATTGCAGGTTGCAAACGCTGTCATTCTCCAAATTTCATGAACAATGACGTTATGTTTCCAAGCCGGGAAAACCGCTGAAGGTACATACAACACTGAGGTCCGAGATGAAATCAAAAAGCATGTATTCCATTCTCTACCTCGTTCCCAAATATTTCAAGTGCGACGTTGTTCTAGCCCTTAATAATTTTCTCCAATAATGTAAAGCTCATTGGCCTATAATTGAGTAGATCGTTATTGTTTCCCTTCTTCAACATAGGAGCCACGTTGTCTATTCTCCAGACTTTTGGGATATCACCTGTGTTGAAAGAGTAGAGAATGATCTCATAGAAGGTTCCACCGGTGCCCTCTCTTGCATCCTTCTTATCCTGCGATATTTCCCGTTAGCTCCTGGGGACTTACCGACCTTAATGTCTTTCACAGCCCCCTCACATCTCCCTTCTTAGTATGGATGTACGAACGAATATCAAAATAACACTCTATTTTGCGATCATCGATTTCTGTCTCCTTGGTGAACACCAAATCTAAGTACTCATTGAGCAGCTCAGCAAATTCCTTAAGCTCGATGCGTAAATTTCCTCCTTTGTCCTTGAGTGGACCTACCCTTTCCATAGTTATGCTTTTAGTCCTAATATGCATGTTTCATACGCATGGGAGTCTCCTTAATCTTACTTGGCAAGAGCATTTCATGGTTCCTTCTCGCCCTCCCATTTTCTTGCTTGAACACTTCTCTTTGCTTCCCTCATACTCGTCAAAGGCCTTGTTTGATTTCAGTTTCCCAAACCTTACGTAAGCTTGCTTTTCTTTTTGACTGAGCTTTGAAAGTGTTGTGTCAACAAAAGTTCCAGAACCTTGTCATTTTTATTTTTCATCATCACAGGAAAATGCTGGTCCTGAACGCTGATCAATTCGCCTCTAAAAGACTCCCACAAGTTAGACAAGCAGTAACCCTGAAAGAGCGACTCCAATCTAATGTCCCTAGTCCCTGCCTAATGGTGTTGTAATTAGCCTCCCCTCAGACCCTTCCACCACACACACACCAACACGTTCGCCCTGGGACCAATCATGCCTTCATTTATAATTATAGTACAATTTACGGCATCAGGTTAATGATTCCAAAAGCTTCACCACTGAAACTTCCATCAACTGGCCACACTCAATTATGAATACAAGGTCTTTCCAGCACCTTTCCTAGCTGAACCCTTTGTCTATGTCTTCAAGAAGTCTTCTTGGATATCTAGACCTAACAGGTTCTTCTCTTCTAAGCCGCTGGCATTCGGGGAATCCCTGTCAATATTGCAGAAGTTAAAATTGCACATTTCAAAAACCCTACTGTTTTTCCATTCGCCCCCCGCCCCCACCCCAACATATAATCCGCTTAAAGACCCATTTCTCTATCGCTGGCTATTCGGATTCTGGTCGTACAACAAAATCATAATGAATGCATTTTTCTTATACTTAAATTCCACGCATATGGTATCGTTGGATAAGCCCTATAACAAGTCCTCTCTTGGATCTGACAGTCTCCTGGAACAGCAATTCAACTCTCCTACTGATTATACATCGCTCTATATCTTGCCTTACACATCTAATCCCGAGAACATTGAGTTGCCCTTCTCGTAACCAAGCTTCTGCAATGGCTACCATGTACTAATGCAGGCTCTAAGATTATTTGTCGTTCCTGTTATATACTTTGCATTAAAATAAACATACCTCAGACCGCCAGTCCAGTTGTGTTCATAAACCTGGCCCTCACTGTTCATCGTGTCAGATAACACCATGTTATTTTCTGTCATTCTCTTTTGTCGTATTGATACAGGCACAATGATGGTCCTGAAATGTTGCTAATCGGCAGAGCTCCAACATTTTTCACTTCCTTGTAGAATGTTTCATATGATTGTGTTGAATTGCAGATAGGCTATATTGTCATAATCGTTAACAATTACGAAATTTTAATCGTAAAATGTTATCTTATTATTGTTTTCCATTGCAGTTTTAGATGAATTTTGAGCTATTTTTCGCATTTCTCATCACACCCAAGTAAATAAGACATTTGTACTGAGATCAATGACTTCTCAGTGATAAGGTTGATTGTGAAAGCCATAACTATGGAATCTTGTGGCATGTGCAGTCAATTAAGGCCACGGATCCCTTTGTGAACGTGTGCGTGCGTGCGTGCGTGTGTGTGTGTGTGTGTGTGTGTGTGTGTGTGTGTGTGTGTGTGTGTGTGTGTGTGTGTGTGTGTGTGTGTGTGTGTGTGTGTGTGTGTGTGTGTGTGTGTGTGTGTGTGTGTGTGTGTGTGTGTGTGTGTGTGTGTGTGTGTGTTGTGTGTGTATGTGTTGTGTGTGTGTATGTGTATGTGTGCGTATGTGTGTGTGTCTGTGTGTGTGTGTTTCTGTTCACTACTTCATCAAACATTTTCAAGATAATTAGGTCACAAATATAAACAGAATACTTATCCATGTACTCTGTCATTACTCTGAAACCAAGTGATTTCAATAATCTCGTGAACTTCAGATTGCCAATGACGACCTTTCATGAAATCGTAACACAATTCGAATTTGATATTTTTTGGACTTTCAAGTTATTTACTTCTTCTATTTTGTGTGCCGTCCGAAAGACATTCATTTCTCTCCCAGTCCTTTGCAAACCCGTGACATGTGTGCTTATTTTTCGTGTACGACGGTACAAGAGATGTGGTAATACAAACACACCATAATCGCTTTCAAGGAAAAGACCACGTTGAATTTTAAATATGGCATCATTCTTTCAAAGTCGTTTTTGTGGAGGTCCTGGAAATGGCTTTGTCAATATCACTGTAGCTGCGTGTGCAGCGTATGGACAGCAGCAGAAGTTTAGAAAGGCAGTCAACTACCGTCTTCTCCAGAGCAGTAAATGCTTCCGTAGGACAATAACATGTAGGAGCAGAAATAAGCATTCATCAATACAGTCTTAGCAGGGATGAGGTCATGATTAATTCTGACAGGACTCAATTCCAGTTTTCTGCAATATCCCATAAGGCTCGAATCCCTAAAACTCTGTGCATTTCAACCTTGAATATACTTGATAATCCTATCTCGGCAACTCTAATCAGTGATTAATTCCATAAATACACTGCACTCTGAGGGAATATCTCCCTCCTTATCTCTGTCTGAAATCCTTGCTCTGAGATAACGTGTTCTTTTCCGACACTTCCTCACAGGGGAAACTGTTCAGCATGCACCATACAAGGTCTCTGAGAAAGGTATGCGTCAATAAGATCGCCTCTCATTCTTCTGAACTCCAATGAATGCCAGCGCAATCTATTCAAATTCTCCTCAAAAGAAATTACCTCCATTCTTGCAATCAACCGATTGGAGATTTTATGGACTCCTTCCAGTACCAGTATATCTTTCCTTAGAAACGGAGAGGAAAGATGTTAAAATCTTGCCGCATATATTGTTGTCAAAATATCCTAACTTTTATGCTGCAATCACGCAAGTAGACAATTGGGTCAGAAGAACAGCAAACAGAAGCTGTGGAACCCGGGGAAACCACAGACTCAAATTAAGCGAAATGTGCTGTGACTCACAGTTGCTCTCAGAGCTGATGGTGCAGCAATAGCGACAGTTGGATATTCAGTTAGAACTCTGTGACTTTCCTGCACCTGCTCGTTGTTCAACGAGTTTGACATTTAAAAAAAAGTAGAAAACGCTTCAAAAATCAGAACATGAATTTTTCAGGCATAGAATGAGTCACACTTTTCAGCACGCCTTTGAAAGAGATATTTAATGTCACACTTTGTCCACTATTTGCATTGGCTGAACAGCCCAGTGCTTTCACCTGACCACGTTTTAAACAAGTAGAAGTAAATATTCTTCTGCCTTTACATCTCAGTTCTTTAAAAGACTGCAATTTAATTATAACAACTAACATTTCACACCTTTTTTTTTATCTTTTATACGTGTGTTTGGAATATCGTTCCGTAAGTGAAGACTATTTATGCATGGAATGGTGAAATGTGTCTGCGCCGGCTTGGCGGGCCGAAAAGACGGTTTCTGTGTTGTATTCTTCATTGATATTACTTTTTCTAGTGTTGGAAACAATAAAATGCGATCTCCTTTTGCCACTTATCGTTGTAGCGTCTCAATCAAATATATTGTTAAATTGTTTTGCTTCAAGGAGACAGACAACAGTTTCTGTCACCTGCGGTCTTTTTGTAAATATTGACAAGTTTATACATTGAATGCTTACATTTATGACCTTGCTCCAATGAATAAAGACTCACAAGTCTTAGGACATAACTGATTGTCTCGTCTTGGTCAATTTGAAAAATATCAGACCTAAAATGTTGGCGCACTGACAGAAGCAGAGACAACGTTCAAATCTTGCATGGTTTTACGTACTATGCTCCCAGAGCTTTGAACTCCTACGGATATGGGGATTGCGTGCAGTGCCTGAGATATAAATCTTCAGCAACAACAAGGCCATATTTGGAAAAGATCATTGATGCCACGTCCTATCAGTTTTCTACTGGAACAGAAAATACTTAACATTTTTAAAATATATCACCTTCGTGTCTGATATTAAGAAGTAAACCCAGATCAGGGCAGCCTCAACTTACATGGAAACTGAGGAATACTGTTGCAAAACACCCAACAGTTTGACAACTGCACAGAGTATAAACTGTGAGTGTTGCACTGAGTAGGTTTTGGTACGGTCCTCATCGATCTTCATTGCACTGTGTCTCTACTGCACAGAAATAGGTGGCACTGTCTATCATTCGAGCGTCATGAACAGTCAAAGCACTGGTCTTTTCCGTCGAATTGAACCGAGCGTTGATCCTGCCCCGATCGCCGGTACCGCTCACCAGATGCTTCATGGTTCCGTTCGGGTACTGACTATACCACTGTATTATCCGTCCTGCTCCTGTGGTGGAACAAGTCAAGAGGGCAGTCTTTCCCTCCATAACGATCACTGACTCTGAAGACTGAGACACCTCGTTGCTGTTAGAAGAAACTTCGGAGAATATATAGAAAAACAGAAATGACGTAAATGTAATATTGAATAACTGAGTTTAATACAATGCGATGCAATACAATGAAGTACAACGTAAAATGATTCAAAAATGCAGAAATACCAATCTAACAGAAATATTAGCATGTCACGTTCAAAATTTCTGACAGAATTATCAGCCACACTCACCAAAAGGGAAAAGTAAGAAACTTAGGGAGATGAGGAGAACAGTGAAGCTCAGCCCCATGTCGGATCCTGTTGTTTTGCGTAATGCAAGTGTCTGTAGATTCAGGCTGGGAGAGGCTCCTTGAGAAGTCAGCGCTCTTTTATGCCCAATTCAGCTCTGCACCAGTTATCGTGCGGCATCTACAGGTGGGTGCCTCGGACATGTGAACACAAAGATAAGCTGTGAGGGAGCAGCAACGTTGAACATGAGTGTCGAGGGCGGAGTCCCCGTGTGTTCGAGCTTCCTGATATGTGACGCCACGATTCAGCAAGACTGGCGTCGCCCTAAAACCAGCTTAACTTCACTCAGCGGGGACCGGGGGCTGTCGACCTCTCTTCCAGCGCTGATCAACTCTGACTTTCCGTGAATTTAGTTCTGGCCTGAAGCAGGA